ACAATAGATGTGGGTGGTTATACTTCATTACATAAATAAGCCTTGAATAGTCCTGCAGTTCATTCTTCGAAGAATCAAGCAAGGTAAAAATTATTGGAAAAGTGGGAACCAACAGCCAAGTGATATTTTCTAGCTTCCTGTGCAACCTGGCAGCTGATAATTTTATCTTCCCATTTTACAAAACAATGTACTGTACCTCTTGCATGCCTGTGGCATGCCTGATAGCCACGTACCATATCCACATTTTGTTTGCGTTACATTAGAAAAACATCACTGTGACTTCAAGTGAAAAAAACATAACGTTCAGCCAAGGCTAAAGTTTCATCATCCTTGGAGACCTAGGGGTGACATGGTCAGTCGGGTTGGGAAAAACGGTGGCAAACATTTTCAAGAACGCGTGAGATATCTCCTGGGATGCTACTGTACTCTTAACAAACCAGTTCCACAATTCACTCAAATGCTTATCTCAAACCTTAAAATGTAACTCAAAATGATTGCATTGTAACCTGCATGAAGGCACAGTTCTAATCAAAGTCCTATACTTACTTTACATATAGTTTGTAGAATTACAATGGTTGATCTAAAGAAGCCAACATGGAAAATTGGAAGTGCAAGATCTAAGTAGCCATAATGACCAACACAGTCAGCCAATGGTTTGCCACACGTTTCACAGCTCCGGTCTTTGCTACTTGTACCCTGCAAAATACATTATTATATTTATACAAAATCATTTACAAATCAAGGTTTGCAGGTGAAGACATCTCCTGCCCACTCTGTACCATTTAAATAACCTATACTTAAGTATTTACTTAAGTATTTTCTATACCTTTCAGTGAATGCCTTTTTTTTTATAATGGTCTTGTCATGCCTTTATTTGATATTGCAGACTTTGTTTTGGGAGATAAAAATAATGTAACCTTAATGTCTAGTTTACAAGTTTTGCAGAAAAAGACTGCCAAATGATTTTAGACAGACCTCTTTATTCATCTGCTACGCATGTGCTTGCCACTCTTAAGTGGGTACTGTACCATTAACAAAAAGGCATTTTCAGAGATGTATTTATGTATACATAAGTGTTTAAATGGACTTGTTGAGCATGATATGAATTTCACAAGACAACAAGAACTACATGATTATAACAACAGAACTAAACTAAATTTCAGACTTCCAAGTGTCCAAAAGAACTGGGACAAACAACGGACTGCGTTTCATGCCATCAAGGATAAACTCCCTTAGACAGACAATCATGGACGATCCGTGAATGTGAATATTTTTAAGGGTGTTCTTTTAGATCTCTAATTCAATGATTTTAGTTGATATCTTGTACATTTCACTAGTTTTTATATACTTTAGCATTTAACTTTATCGTTGATTGTGTGTACTTTTTTTGATCTTTTGAGATCCTTTTTGAAAACCATACTTGTATAAGAAAAAGTTATCTCAATAAAGATTATTATTATTATTATTACAATCCCTATCATCCTGCAAAATATAATCTTTATGGGGTTACTATCTAGTGATATCTCAAAAGGAAAGATAATGGCAAATCAGTAGCAATAGGGTTAAGGATGCTAAATGCTGAGCTGTGAGTAGATTCTAGTAATAATAATATATTTGTTCACCAATTAATGAGTAAGATTGAGACAGAAGATGTAATCATTAAGTTCACTACTGATACTAATTTGGATCTCTGTGCAGATATTAACTGTATACCTTAAAACTATAAATAAATAAATAAAGCTATCATAAAACACGGAAGCTAAAACACACCCAAATACATTACAACTTGATAGGACCATACAAAAACATCGCTTTTTCTTAGATTTCTGCTGAGTTTCTCCTACACCACAAAAAGGCATCTTACATACCATATGAGGATCCAACACCCCAAATGAAATGGGGGTACGGCCAGGATCCTGATTATACAAGTTTTTGCTGACACAGTGAATATGAGCATATTGGTGCATTTGCTCAGGTGAAAACAAACCAAAGTTGACATGGCTTCTGCAAATGGCAAGAATAACTAATTTTTATGAAGTCATTCAAAACACATGACACTCAAACAACTTAAATGAAACTACTCTCTGAAACAATGAATTGCATGGCTGTATTTTGCCTTAGTCCTGGAGAGGGCGGAGGGGGAGGGGGTACTCTGAAAGTAACCTCATCTCATATTGAGCCTCCCCAACTCCCACCAAAAAAAATACCTACTAGAAAAATTAATTTAACCAAAAGATCCTGATTGTCAAACTCATAAAAATCGTTCAATCATCCCCAGTTTGAAGCCAGAGTTATGAACTTGAAGGCTGCTTCAATGTCAACAAATTTAAGTTGCATTTAGGAGTACGGCTTTGGTGCTTTTGGTTTAGTGCAAGGGTCCAATTTTTTACAACAGCAGATTTCAATTCCATCCTTTCTCGTTACCCTCTCACGGGCATTGTTTTACGGTATTTAAGAATCCCGTTACATTCTTTACCGCTCAAGAAGTAACTGTAGAATCAATGTGCATGTGATCCAAAATATCCAAAATAAAAAACAGCTGTTTTTTCGAGCGTGCAGAAATCACAGAATGGGTTAAGAGTCTTAAGATCGTTTGGAAACTGAGATTTCTCCTTTTCCAAGAAAACTTAAATAAGAACATAAGTTTAAAACATTAGTAGGGAATTATATTATTCGAAGAAGTTTTAATGAAAAGATAAACAGACTAGATTTATACTTAGGGACTGGTCAAAAAGTATAGGGAGGGATGGGCCGGAGCAGAGAGGGGGTGGGTCATGAGGTTTTGAGCCTCGTGCAAGGGGTGGGTCGTGCAATTTTCAGCTACCCTTAGGGGGTGGGTCAACCTATTTTGTTACATAGATAAGCACTAACTACTAACGAGACAGTTGACCACACTTGTTATATAAAACACAGGCAGCTGGAATTAAATTGCTAAAATACTCACAAACCTGTTGCGCGAGAAAATGCAACGGGTGACAGGCCACACATCCCGTGAACCCTTTGTTAACCTTTTTTTTTTTTTTTTGCTCTAACGAGCAAGTCCTTTAATGATTTTCCTTTTTTGTAAGGAAATGATTGGTGGTTCTTTAAAAATTTATTAAAGTTACGGTTGGTTTTGTATAAGATTCCATTTTTATTATTCAAGCTTCCTTTATAGTAGACACTGAGGGCTGGTATTGTGTCACAAATTTCAATATTTCTTTTTCCTCCTTGTATGTTTTGTTTTAGGAGTTTAGACTTGTTTTTGTAAATTTCATTTCTGATAGTAGGTCTTCTATCAAAGTTTGTGGGTAGCCTCCGTCCATCAAGCGTTTTTTTTTTTAAATTTGAATTATTTCCCTCAAAGGTTGTTTCTGAGGAGTTTTTTCGTAGGATTCTCAAGGCTTCTCCTTTGACAAATCCTTTTTAACACTTGGAGGGTGACACGAGGTGAAATGTGTGTGCAAGACGGTTTCCGTTTGTTCAAAATGTGTCTTTGCATCAAGGATAGATTTTTTTCTTGAATCTTGTGCCTTTGTATACAACCGTGTCTAAAAACGCTGCATCTCAGAGTCAAATGTTTCGGCCATGAATTTAATAGTTGGGTGATGTAAGTTTGCTTGTTCAATGCAGGCTTCGATGTCTGGTTTACTCATGTCCCATAGGGAAAAGATATCGTGTATGTAGCATTTCCAAACTGTTGTTCTAAAGACAGTTTTGGTTAGAGTTGTTGTTTCAATATATGTCATGAAAATATTGGCAAAGGAATCAAAACTGCTGTCTTTGTGCCCATTACAGTTCCATGGTTTTGTAGGTAGTGCTTTCCATTGAAGTGGAAGAAATTTTCTTTGAGGATTAATCTAAGAATTTCCAGCAAGTAATGTGTAGGAATGGGTTGTCTTTGTAGAAATTTTAATATGCTTTGTGACAGACAATTTCAATATACCTTCGTTTTGCTGTATATTTGTGTCAAGACTCATAACGTCCATCAAAACAAGAAATGTTCGGTTTTTCACATTTGTCTTTTCAGCGAAAGGTATGATTTCTGTGATTTTGATATTGGTTGTAGTAGTGTATCAACAAATTTTGTCAAGCACAGAACAAGGTTAGGCCATCCTCTTTTTTTTCTCCGTTTACCGTCGTCCGACCGACCCAAATTTTTGGCATTTTTTTTAAAAAAGTAACGACATAGTTACACCATTTTTCACTTGAAATAATTCTTTGAAAAATGAGCATAGTAACAGCACAGAGAAAAACAAGGACAAAAACATGAACATTTTTCACAGTATATTTTACATTTTGTTAATCCAATAATGTGAATGTTAACTTTTAACGTCTTTCTGGGGTACCAGGGCCTACTATTCCGAGACTTCTTTTGATTTTTTTTTTTAAGTTTTTTTTTTTCAATCCGACCGACCGAGCCAATATCAGGAAACGCATTCGACGGTAAACGAAGAGAAAAAAGGGGATGGCCTAAGAGGAAACCAAACATCCATGTTCTAACTAGGGGGTGGGTCATGCAATTTCCAACCTTGCTTTAGGGGTGGGTCAGTCATTTTTGTGCCGAAGGGAGGGGGTGGGTCATGTGTTTTTTATCAACCACATTTCCAAATGCTCCGGCCACCCCCGCTATACTTTTTGACCAGTCCCTTATCATTGTAAATTTCTGAGTGAGGATCTCATCTAGCGCGTGTAGTATACTACCCGCAAAAGAAGACAGGTCCAGCAATGAAGGAACTAAACTGACAACACTTGTTAAAGTCTTACATCTTTTTGGTGACTCCAGACTCTCTGAACTGGTCTTTCACCATGGTGGAAAATACAAAATCTCCACGTTTTCACGATCTTTTCATAGCCATGCACTCGTAGCTTCCATCCTTCTTTGTGACCCCGCGGTGACCAAGGTTTTTTTTCAGCGGCCTGTATCTCGTTACCAGTTTCCTCCGTAGCTTTGTTTCCCGCCATCTTGTAAACGGAGAATACCTTGGTAACGAGAAAAAAACTGAACAAAAAAAAGCAAAATGGCGCGGAAGTTGTTGATATTGTTCATGCTGTTGTTATGGTCCTTTCCTTCCGTATCCATCGACTTTTCGATCCGTTATGTGACTCCTCAGGATTGTCAGGCAAATCAGTACTTTCAATTCTCGTCGTTGCGCTGTATTGACTGTCAAACACCCGGTCAAAAACGTGCCGAAGATATGCTTTCATGCGTCTGCGAAACGGGATACAAGACAACCTCTTATAATGGTGGACCTACGGTTAACTGCGAAAGATGCGACTCCACGGGTTCATCAAACAGCACAAGTTCATTTGATGGCAGTTTCTGTATCAATTGTCCGAAAAACGTTGGTACCTGCCAGAGCTGTCCAGCCAATTTCTTCGCTTCTGACCGAAGCCAAGATGGCAGGCGATTGACGACCAGAAGGTGCATTTCTTGTGTGGGAGACACAATAGCGACAGGTGTGATTGAAAAACCAAGCTGCCAGCGCTGTCATTCAAGCTTTTTCATCTTCAATGATACTTTTTGCTCAGATTGTAACAACGTGGATGGGTACAGCACATCTGGAGGAATATGTTTTCGGGACACGATATTACTTACACAACCGCTTTCCAATGTAAATGACAAAGTAAAATACAGCGACAAAGAAATTTTGTCTTCTTTTTTCCAACAACATTTGAAAGCTGCTCAAATACTTTGCAGCGATAATTCCAATTTCACAGCGTGTCAGTTGTTGGGGAACCTGTGCGTGATGCTTGAATATACTCAGAGTGGTAATGATGCTTGCAAACTGTTTACAGATCTGGTTAACATCAAAAATGCAGATAAAATTGTTGGTGATAATCGGGATTGGCCTGTCGTCATGCCGTGGTTATTTTATGAAAAGTCAGTTGATGATGCACCTGAAGCCCTTGACAAGAAAGACATAACCAAACAATTTCAATCAAGTGAGGAAATGAGCTTTATTTTTGCAGTTTTTGCTCTTAATGGTTCATTTATTGGCTTTGAAGAAGGCCTTGATGTTTTGCAGTTATGTAAAGACCGACCATCAAAAATGGCAGCAGCATTGAAGTTTGCTACCACATACAAATCAACTTGTTCAGTGGCAGTGAAAGACCTTATTAACCAACCAATGTTCCTTTACGACATGTACCTTGTGCTGGATCAAAACCTCTACCCTGTTCCTTTACTTGTAGAGAACTACTTGTCAGAAAATGAAAAAGTGAATGAAGGAACTGACAGAACAAAATGGCAATTAACGAGAAGGTTTTTCATTGTTGATAATCTAATTGGACGATCTGACAACCAAGCGTTAAAATGGATTCGTTATCCTGAGAAGATTGAGCTCAGCATACGAGTGCGTTCAACTGATGGTGAGATCTACCCTCCAATGTTACGTGTCAGGTACAAAGCTTTGGATGTCCAAGACGAAGAGATAAAAAATGGGAACCAGGATGCCTCTTTTGCAGTCACTTATGAAATGGATACAAGCAAAATTGAGAAAGATACAGAGGTATTAATTTTCATATTTACAGTTTGTTAACTTATTCGCTCCTGAGTATTTCACTGAAAAACTTGTTTTAAGCTAGTGGAGCCATTTTTGCAACATAACAGTACTAGTTGTGATGAATGGTTTTGTTTGGAAAGCTCATGGTTTTTGATGGACATTTAATGTCCAAATTTTGGTTCACTGTCACTTGTCATGATATGTCATGACATAGTATCTATCTGCTTTTTGTTTTTTGTTTTTTTCGACGAAATTAATAAAAAAAATTCAAAAATAATTAGACTAAAAGAAATAAATATATATAAAAGTACATAAGATGTCAAGATTAACACGCTATGATATTATGACAGTTACCAGTTTTCAGTTTTCATTTTGAAATGTATGAGAAAACGGGAACTGCAATTAATAAGTGCGCTATTTTCTCTAAAGCGGCAGCTAATCCTGAGGTCGCGGAAAACTGGAGAAGGCCATGGAAATAGTCACTGAAAGTCATGAAATTTGAAGAGCTAAAAAGAGTACAAACCCTGTACATTTGTACTTCTGTGGTGATATTTAAAGTGCCCTCGATAAAAGGAAGGACCAAGGGACTGGCAAAATGTGTTTGCTGTAAGGAATTTTCGTTATATCGAGGTTCTTTTTTTATATATTTGACTAGGAAACTCATTCGTCGTACCGAGGACTTCATTAATATAATAGAGGTTCGTTATATCTGGGTTCCACTGTATAAAGCAGTATACCTTCAAAGAAATATCACAATATTATTGCTTTGAATTGAATGTTAATTTTACCAGTTTTCCCTTTGTCTTTACTCTCAACCTACAGATAGCCATTGGATGCCTATCTGCTCTTGCAGCAATTCTGGCCTTGGTCAAGGTGTCTGCTTGGCGAAGACGTGAAGGCAAACTTGAGATAGATGGTTTCTCCTTTGTGAAATTTATTTTATTTAGCTTGGGCACGTTCTCAACGATGCTGTTCTGGGTTGCCTTTGGAATGGCAGTATACTGGTTGATTTTCTTTAAACGCCAAAAGACAGTGTCCTTACTCCTGCCATCAGAAAGCCAGGAAAAATTGTTTCTTACACTGTTGTATGTGACCTTCGTGTTCAAGTTGCTTGATGTTCTTCACATGTTGGCATCGCAGGTGTTTTTTGACATATTTTTTGTCGACTGGGAGCGTCCACAGGGGAGAGTCAACCAACCTACTCAGGGGGGAGAGGCAGGGGCAATGGATGCACCAGTCAGCATCTGGAGAACTTTGTTCATTGCCAATGAGTGGAATGAGATACAAACAATGAGGAAAACCAACCCTGAATTACAGATATTCATAGTTTTGTTCTTTCTAAAGGTGGCTGGATTTGAGTTTTTGGCGACTACAGACCCTGTGGGCATTTTCTCTGCAAACTACACAACAGATTACATCGGGGAGTTCAGCAAAGTACTGCGATTTGCCATTCTTTCAATCCTGTTCCTGGTTATAGAGGCTGTACAATGGTTCTTTTTTGCATTCATCTATGAGCGTTTTGTGGGGGATGCACTTGGTGACTTCATTGACTTATGCTCAATGAGCAACGTGAGCATCTTCATATTGGAGGTAAGCAATAAGTGCTTATTGACTGATCCTGAGGGGAAAAAATTACAGTCAAACCTCCATGCACGACCACCTCTAGTAAGCAACCACCTCCCATAAGCGACCACCTATCCAAAATTTTCCACATTTATTTTCTCAGGCTCTCATGAGAAATTTTCTTTGCTGCTAAATATTACATATAACTAATTACATCTACAGCCCTTGAAAAATATTTTAAAAAATGCAATATTGTTTAAATTACTCTGGTACAAGGTTTTTGTCCACTGAAAATTAAAATTACTCAATTTCCTTATGGATTCCGTGTTAATGCTTTGTCTCAATGGAACTCAATGGATGTGCAATCTTAAGTTTTGTGTTGATTCTCCTTCAGACATAATAATTTCATTATCTTTTGCAGAATAATAGGTATGGGTATTACATCCATGGGCGATCTGTTCATGGTCGGGCAGACACCAACATGTGGCAGATGAATGAGCAGCTGAAGCGAGAAGAAGAAGACCTGTGTGGAAAGAGAGGACTTGAACCCAACACTGAACGACAGACCTTTGAAATGGAGGTACCATTTAAATTCCGTGAGCAGTACGATGATGTTGTAAGGCCCTTACGTCAGGGTGATGTACAGTTGCAGAGGAGGAACATACCTAATAATCCCAGTGGTAAGTTCAACGTCATTTAAGAGTTTCTATTTCCCAGTTGCCCCAGGCCTTTTCACAGGCTACCCAAGCCTCTGTTTCAAGGAAAGGCTAAGGCTAGGTCCACACTATACTGGACAGCCAGAGTATAGTATTAGCCTGCGTGCAAGCTCTCCTATTTGGGCGAGCGAAGCGAGTCTCGCGAGGCTGGCCCAAATAGGAGAGCTTGCTCACAGGCTAGTATAGTATGAACACCTATCCGACCTGTCACTCTTAGCCTGCGTGGCAGGCATCGAAAGGGGTAGGGGATAGGAAGGAAGGGAAAAAGGGAGGGGGTTTTAGGGGATAGGGTTAGCTTTTCTCCGCCTGAAAAACAAACCTGAAGAAAATGTGAGATGCAGGGCTGGTGAAAGTAATTTAGATTTTGGAGTCAGGGAATACCGTGTAGCATGAAAATTTTGCGGGTTCTAATTTTTGCGAATTTTGCGGATTGACCTCGATCCGCAAAAATAAAATAATAAAGTATGGTAACTTACAAAGTTTTATGCTGATACTTCCAAAGGGAGCAGAGATTTTGCTCTACAAAGTTGCGAAATTTTACAGACATTTCTATGGTTGGGGGATACGAACTAAATTTGCTCCCAATACAAACGTCTGCAAAATTCCGCGACTTTGCGGAGCTATCTTCGTTTGTTTTAAAGTCACTTTCAAACTTGTTGATTTTAAGGCGTTCTCCTCAGCCTAGCCTCCCACGCAGACGTTCTTAAGGGTTCGTCACGCGTTCCTGGCCCACTCAGTGGGGCAGGAACGCGTGACGAACCCCTGGCGGCCGGGAAAGCTCTTATGTGGGTTAAAAACATTACCGATTTTTGGAGATTTTGCTATCTAAACATTCCTTGTCTTAGAATAAATATTACCTTAATCGTTATGAGTTCCTCAAGCGAAGAATTCACGCATAAGTAGGAAAACTCAAAAACAGGTGTTTCTGTTGGTTTCTGGCGGCCATATTTGTGCCCCTGAAAGGGACACAAACATGGCGTCTCCATACAAAGCTTTATAAATTTGGGTAAAACGTTTTTTCGAATATCTCGCATAAGAACTATTGCAAAGACCTGATTCTTGGCAAGGCTTTTTGTATATTTATCTTCTTTCATTTCTCAGATTCTAGACTTTCTGTATTCAAAGGTTTCCATTTTTATTTCTGCTTTCTCATGTGAGTGAAAACCCTTTTACCAAGAGGCATCGACTTTAAATCTGTTTCGCTTTTGTTTTCCAGGGCAAGATGGTCGTCCAAGCCGGCTAACTCCAGCGGTAGAGAAACGAATCCAGGCTTACAACACCTTGAATCGCTTTCTATCAGCTTTCATTGACCATTCCTTAAGGGACATGGATTACCTTGTACGAGACAAGCTGCTTTTCGAACACATCTTAAACATGGAACTTAAAGAACTTCCCCCACCGGACAAAGCGATATTCTACAACGATGACGGACGTTCATTTAATTCCATTCTGTTTTACGGCAACGAATGGACTTTGATGCTGTTTGATCTTCTCATGTTTGCCTTTGTTGATTCACTTGCTCAAGATTTTGTTCTCGCTGGCGTCATCACTTATCTTGTCACAAAGGCACTTATAATATTGAGAGATAGCTTTGGGCGGAAAAACTTAACAAGAAAAACACTTGTTGATGAGCGGTTCTTAATTTAATCCTTTTTCAAATTCGCAAGTTTTTCACCTCATCCAGGTAGCTCATTGGAATCGTTAGAACAGGAAAGTATACTGCTCAGTAGCTTTCAACAGTCATTTCAATGGAAACCTGAAGATTTCGTCCATAGACTCAAAAGTTAAGACCACCTTGCACAGCGTAAATAAACATTACCACAGGAAAGTATTACTTAGTAGCTCTCATTTGAATGGTCACACCTAAGGATTCCGTTCACAAACTGACTCAAATGCTAGAACCACCGTACAGCGTAAAAAAAAAACCTGAATAAACAGTACGTAAGAAAAGTATTGCTCAGTAAATTTTATTTCAAAGTTCACATGTTAGGCTTTCATTCACCGATAAAATAAGAACCACTTTGTACCTTGTTAGCATGAATTTTTGCTTAATTTTTCTCATCGGTAATTTAGGCCCCTGCCTGATTCGCTTTATCATTAAACATAATACCATGTTGCGTTAACATTTTTTTATATCTATTTAACTGTTTGTGAATTTATTTGCTGCTAGTGTCTTTATTTCTCCTTCAAAAAAATCAACTTTCCCCGGGAAAAAAATGACTGAGGCAAGTGCCTCAGTTTGCCTCATACTGGCTACGGCCCTGCAGGGGCCCGTTTCTCGAAAGTCCCGATAATTAACGGGCCCGGTAAGCTGTCTCCGTTTACATTAAAGATCGAGGTTTCAATAGTTTTGCATCTAACATGATAAAACTGTCAGTTAATGAAACGAAATGGAGTAGTTTGCTAGCCTTGGCCCGCGCTCTTATTCTTTATATTTCGATTGGAATATTTGATGTCGGGCCCGTAAAGTTACCGGGACTTTCGAGAAACGGGCCCGTGAACTGAATCGAGTGTATTCACGACTCATTACGCATGCAATAATGCAGAAATGAATCTGAAATCTACAACTACCAACGGATTCAACTTTCGAATAATAAATTCATCAATGAAATCTTAGGGGGTACGCTTGACCTGGCTTGACTGTCACAACTTTGCAAAAACAACGTCAACTTTTGTAATGCACAAGACATAACCTCCGTCATCAGCAGTCGCAGAGGTAAATGAAATACCTTTATTTAAGTGTTCGTACGTTATGTATGATAAACTATTTATTTAAGTACGTATGCAAAAACTCTGGCTACGGCCTTGGGATGTAGTTTTAAGTCAATATAATCCGTAGTTCATTATTCGTGCCTTTGTGGATTGTTACAACTTTTGAAGATAGCTTTTCTACGGTTTCCATTTGCGATGATGGAAGTTTCTATCCAAACGTGGAGAAAAAGTCGACGTAAGTTTAAGTCGGCTTCTTGTATGTTCATCTTTGCGCAGTATGGAGTTTTAGAAGTTATTTATCATACACAGCTGTCTAAGTTATACGCCCTAAGAAAGATGTCTTTGAAATTTAAACTTAAGCTATGTTTTGGATTGCTGTGAATAAAGAAGTTTTAATCATCTGCGACTCCCTTTTCACAAAGTCGGAGTGAAAAAGTGCATTGTATATTGATACTGTTAGGAAAGACTGATGTTGATCACTTTTGGAACAATGGGGTTTATGCGGGCACGTAGTTTCTCAAACTTGGGCGTTACTGACCCTAAACAATCCAGTTAATTTTTTTGGCTCCCTTGAATGTATCCACTCACGATAACTCGAACCTTCTAGGGAAATCGAAAAAAGTTCGAGTTATCGTGAGTTCGAAACAAATAACCGGAAAAAAGCAAATAAGCAAATGGATGGGGAAGGAATGCAATTAAGCAATAAAGCTTGATTAATATACAAGGATGGGCACTGAATTTGAACTGGAGTGACGCGCAGGGCTTTTTATCTCGACTTGTCACGCGCTTATAACATGGTTCGAGTTATGGAGGGTAGAGGGAACCAAAAATTACTTCGCGTTAGCGGGAGGTTCGAGTTATCGAGGGTTTGAGTTACCAACGGTAAAATTACAGTAAATTTTTGAACGATATCCCGGGGCAATAGACTTCGGTTCGAGTTAGCGAGGGTTCGAGTTATCGGGAATCAACTGTAATCCAAATCCGAAAACATTTATGAATGCTGAAAAATTCTCCTCTACCCTAAACGAAGTCGTATGTTAGTTAGTTGCTGATGTCCCCATATTAAATAGACTGGTCATCATGTTACCAAAATGCATATTAAATAAATTCACGCACTTGTCCGGATTACTTAAGGACCTGTATTTAAGAATTAAGTTAATTTAAAAAAAAATAACTAAGGAGGTCTGCACAGACAGAGCAAGTGTTTTCTTCCGTTTTGTTTTGTTTTTTCTTAGTTTGCAAACTTCCTATCTTATTGGCTACTGCCTGGAACATGAGCTCTTGTGATTCCCCCACCTTGAGGATCTTTGATCTGAAAATGATTTCAGAAACCACTAATTCCCCTGAGGCATGATCTAAGATACGTCCCGTGGTATTCTCTACAACGACCTTTATTCTTTTCGCATAAAATTGCTTCCCACAGAAAAGTTTTGTTCTTTAGCTTTCATCACGTAACACTACTTGAAACCTGGTGCCTTTCAGGAAAAGTGGATAAACCAAACCTATATAGCCTCTGCACTGAGAGCAACAGCATTAGCCCCATCAAGATGACAGAGAATCTGATTGTAAAGGAGATCACATTCTTTCGATTGGACGAAAACTTCATTAGATTTCAGGTCAGTTAAAAGTTAAATGGGGTGGAAACCTTCTTAGTCCCCTTTGTTTCGCGCTACATTGTAAACTGCAAATTGTAGTAAAATGGCGGTTCTTATCAGTGCTAGCGAAGACGAAGTGGTCTAGACGTATTTAACGTAAAACGTTTCAGACGTTATATCAATTCGTCTTTGGCTCCGGTAATTCAAACGTTGGATAGTACTATCCACCGGATAGACAATTATTAAGGGAAACCACCTGCGCTATCCACTGAATAGAGATTTATCCTGTTGATAGCCTTAAACAAGTTTTAAACAACTGTGGCCTGGAGGCCAGCACATTGACAACGCCTTGGCATTTAATTTGAATCGTTTAGTAATCCGCTTGTTTTGGGAAAACTGGGGTCAAACGGACACACAGCGAATAAAAACCTGCGAAAAAAGTCGTCTCTTATCGCTCCAAGTCGGTCGCGAAACGTTGCCAGCATCTGTCATTTTCTTTCTTAGCGGCTTAGAACAGGATGTTTTATACAGAGTTTCAAAGAATAAACTAAGATTACGAGCAGCTCCTCAATTTGTTGAGTACTTTATTATTTTGTTTCTTGTACTTAGGATACGGTGAAAAACGCTGTGAATCATCTGAAGCAACTTGCATGGAAAGCTACAGACGATTCACCGGAAACATCCGAGAAGCCTGCGGAGATCGCTCGAGTAATCTTCACCGATCCCATTGTTAGCGACTTTCTCATTCGAACTTCGCGCCTGGCCGTGTTTTCTAAAGAGTTGGCCAAATCCTTCAGAAGCAATCTTGATGCACTTGTAGCAGTCAAGCAACTCAAATTTTTCTACAACTTACCAACTGTGGCTGTGCTCCAGCAACTTGCGAATCTTGTCGCTGGGTAAGTAATAATTCAAAATTCCAAGGACGTTAACACGTTCCTCACTAATTTACTCTCTGGCGTCACATGTGCCTTACACGCACAACACTTAATTAAGACCAAAGTTCCATTCCTCTACACGGGGCATATTATCACGTAGAATGAACATTACATGCAGTCGAGTCTTTTGTAACCTGTTCCAGGCTCCGAGATAGTCGAGTCCGCTGAATTGAGAAAGCGCGAACACGAAAATAAAACGGGAGGAAACTGGGGAGAGAAGGGGCGGCTCTCTCCCTTCCTTTTCCTTTTTGCCGCCCCGCCAACTCAACTTTTCGCGTGCCTTTTTCTTTGGCGTCTTCCCCACTATCTGAGAGCCTGGAACAATGCAGGCCGTCTTTTGTGGGGCGGGTGACGAACCCCTAAGAACGTCTGCGTGGAAGGCCACTGACATGCTCCGTCTTCATCGATTTCACTGAGATTAACTTTGATTTTTTGGATGGGTGGTGGCATGTCGCACATTTTCTTCTCCTTTTTCTCATCACAGAACGGATGCTGTAGAGGCGACGCAGAAATGGAACAAAATCGTTGAGAGGATTGCAGAATGCAAACTTGGATTTATGCCTATGCGTATCCTACTTCAAGAAATAAACGCACCGCCATGCTATGAGGACAATGCTGAGTACCTGAAGGACGATGAACCCCATGCGGTTTACCCTACGTCCATTTATCGTACTTCTCACAGTTATGTGTTGGCCAAACCA